GTAGTATTAACTCTCTCACTATAGGCTTAGTCCCAAGAGACCAACCTCATTATCATTTTGAGCTTGTTATAGTTTTCATACTATAACTCTTAATACAGAATATCTTCATGAACTTTTGCAAATTACCAGTAAACATTACAAGGCTTTAGTACACAAAATATCAGAATTTTTTTTTTCATTAGGTTTTAAGATTTTTTAAGTAATGATTTGCACATGCATTTTTTCTTTTTTGAATGTTGACTATCCAATATGCAAAGTAATTTTGATTTTGGTATTAAAAGTACTTTTATGCATCAGAAAATTGTCAAATTTCACATGCACAATCTTTATAACCTCCAAGTAATTATCAAAGTTTTTTTTAGAAATAAGTTTATATTTTATCTGTTATTTTCACTGTTGTATCTCTATATAGGTTTGGTCAATTTGACCAACCTTGTAATCACCATAGAAAATAAGGAAATAGATATAAATTACAATTTTTTGCCTTCTATAACTTGAAACCACAAATGTTTAGTCTAAATAGCTTAAATCTCATGACATTATATATATATATATTTATTATTTTTATTTTATCAACCTTTCAGCCATATCCAACATTACAGAAGTTGCAATGAAGAGTTGCATGTGCACTCATGTTACTGTATCCAATCGTATAAAACTGGCCTTTACAAAGTGACCTGTCTTGGCTTTGTTTTAGTGGACCAGTATTTTGTAAAATACAGTCACATTTTGTTATAATACATTACATATGTATATATATATATTATTACTATTTACAAATAAGTTCTTAAAATTCTGTTACTTTACTTAAAACATAGAACAGTAACAGTAAGTAAAGAAAACAATGATCTCTACAACTTATGATTGCAAAGAAGTTTGTACTTTCTTGTCGTACCAGGCATGCTATACCTTGCATGGTAATCCTTGTCAAATTTCACACTTGGATGATATAAAACAAAATAATTTTTTTAGGTTTTATATATGCATTTTTAAATAACAAAAAATAATAAATTACTCTTATTAGTGTTGCAGAATTCCACTGTAATTTATCAGGCTTAGTAATTGAACTGAATTTGGGTCTTAAACAATATTGTTTTTCAAACATTTTCGAGACAAAATAAATAATCTTGGGAACTTCCCACCTTCAAGAAGCTGATAAACCTATGTGGGGGGGAATTCTGAGCTTGTGATTAGTTATAAAGTCATGATATAGCAAATCGGGTGTACATACGGAAGTATTTCTAAAAATGGAAGAGGTTGGTGGGGCCACTGTGTTTGATTCACTAAATATAGTGATATCTCAGCAAATAGAAAAGATAAGAGGTTCTTATTTTATATTCTAGTCTGTCAATATTGGTAATTTGAGTTTCTAATTCGTAAGAAACTATAGACTTTGTATTTGGACATCACAAATACCTAATTTGAACCAAAACAACATTCAACATACCATGTGACACACAAAAATTGATATTTAGGATTTATTTAAACTAAGTAATTAACTAATGGATATTTCTAAAATCTGAATTATAATCTACAGTTTGACACCAAATGAGTATTGACAAACATTCATAAAATAGTAGTTCAGTAAAATTTTGAATGTAAGTCTACAAATGAGATGACATGCTCTTTGACCTCTGACCATAGGAAGGCCTGTAGTGATAGGGTTAACAAGCCTGTTGAGGGATGTTTTGGCTCCACAGTAGCTGTTACTACAAGTAATGTTTATGGTTTTGTTGTATTAGCAAGCTTGTTTAGGGTTGTATTTGATACACAAAAGCTGATAGTATAAGTATTTTTTATGTTTTTGTTTTTATTAACAAATCTGTTCAGCAATTTTTTTGATCCACAATTGCAGACACTGTAAGTACTGTTTATGGATTTGTTTTTTTAACAAGCCTGGCAGTGCACATCAAACTTGTAAATTTTAAAAATCTCTTGAAGTTTTTACTGGCTTAGTATTAACTTATGTTATCTGTTTTTGAATTGTTCTTGTACCCAGTGTACTAAGTACGATATAAAATAGTATGACTAATTGACACTAAAGAATTTTTAACACATAGTAGATAAAGTGTTGTGTTGATTATTCAAATTATAATTAATTATATTCATTTCCAATTGATTCTTATATTAAAATCCTCTTAATGATCTGAAGAAAAAGTAAACTGTTATTTAAAACAACTCGTATAGGTTTCTCATTAGACAGATATGAAAATTGAAACCTAAATGGTTTAACATAGGCTATATTATAAAATTAGCGAATTTGGATATTAGTGTGTTTAATACATCTTCCATGTTTAATATTTATCTAATGCACAATTGAATTCATGTCTGCCAATGGTTTTGGTTTTATTAAGTTACACACACACATACATGTAAATATCTACATGTATGGTGCCTAGATGGGCTATGTACCACCAAGTTTTATTCTGGCCCACCAAAGTTCATTCTCTCTCTCTAGTGATTTAAAAATTCATATTATCAATTTTAAAAAATTGTATGATTTTTTTTTCAATTTGTAAGAAGAGTCAACCAAAGTTTCACTATTAATTTTAGTATTGTTTTTTCTTTATCAAACAAGCTGCCTTGTATAATAATAGTCATAAAATTGTAGTTCATGGAAAAGAAAGTGAAAGGAAGAACATTTGCTGTTATAAATTGTTTAAAAGACTGCACTTATATGATAATAACCTGATTCTTTGATGAGGCTGTTAAGTCTATATCAAGACTGTACATGTAAAGATAACTACTTTTTTATAGTAGAATAATGCTAGTATATTGAGTCAGATAAAATGTATTACATGTGTCTGAAGACTACCATTTATACACTTGACTAAAACCACATATATTGAATTCCAAGCTTAAAATATATTTATTCCTCAATATTTTCCACCTTTAGCTGTTTCAAGCAGGTAACATTGTACAGTAGTTGTTAAGGGATTTGGTCATTCATGAAGAATTCAGAATGAAGTATCTCATTATCAGTTTCACGTATTTCTGTTTAAAATTGTGTGATTGAACATTAAGAAGGATCACGTTGTTTAAAAAGAATCTAGAACTTGTTTATACATGAAGTTCATCTTCTATTAAACATTTCTGGTTATGGGGAAATGTACTTATGTTGTGATACTTGTCAAATTCATTTCTGAAAAATCTGATCATGTAAGCTCTTGACATGCCTCTTAACAACATTATTTACTGTGTACCATTTAGATCTTGGATGAAGTAAATAACTAGAAAAAACTCCATGTAGTTTTACAAGGAATTAAGATTCATAAATTGTATATATAAATAAAGTGGTTTGACTCACCATTTGGTATTTGGCTTAAAAAAACTTTCAGTGTGTATAGTAA